CTTACACACCTACACACCTACACACATACACACATACACACATACACACATACACACCTACTACCTAGACAGCATCGTCTCAACTACACGCGGCACAGACACACATGAGGATCAGGATGTCAATGCCACGATTGGAAACACAACAAGACAGGCCTTCCTTCACTAATCTAAAATAATCAGTGTGGAGATCTACTTACTACACTACACTTCACTTCACTTCACTTCACTTCACTGCACTACACTACACTACACTACACTGGACTCAGCATAAAGTGTGAACAACATATGAATTTTCAGCACTACTAATGTCAGTCAAGTAAGTCAGTGCTCCTATGTGATGGTTGAGAGACTTGGCGCGTTACGAAAAGCATTTCCAACAAACTGCAGATATCACACATGAACACCTGCCACCCACACTCATTCAATACTCAAGATCAGATCAGATCAGATCAGGTCAGATCAGATCAGATCAGATCAGATCAGGTCAGATCAGATCAGATCAGATGGCCAGAAAGAATATGCAACAAGGAACTGTGACCTGACAACGAATCAACCGACCAACAACCTATCATACAACAACTATGCAGAAGAAGAAAGTGGAGATGAGATGAGATGGATTGGATTGGAGGTAGATTGAGGAAATGACGCGCCAGACCAGGCGAGGCCTCACCAGGCCGTTGAGTGGAAAGCAAATGGGAATCGACGAGTTGGGTGTTTGAAGTGAGGGTGACATGGAGGAGAGTGTAGGAGGAAGAAATGAAAGGATGTGGACAGTTGTGGAGTCAGGTTAGTAAGATTGCAGAGGAGAGAGTGATGTGGCGATGTCCTACTGAATCCCTATGTTCCATTAAGAACCCAAAGGACAAATAATGGTAATAATAATACCGGCTATGCATATGACTTCATTAGTTCACATTAAGCCTACCAGTCCCACTTCTTTTAAAGGGACTATTACCATTTTCTTAAAAAAAAATTATCATCTTGTTTATTCAACCACATTCTCAATATCAAAAATGTCGACTCAATAGTGACCTTATTATTCTAATTACTAGAGATATCTGGTTTGAATCTTATCACGGCTCATTCGTCACTAAGTGTAAATACAAGTCTGCCAAAACACGACTATCTCAGATAGTCAAACTGATAGTCACCCAGCAGGATGCTCCTCCGCTCTAATTCAGGCAGATTTGGACTTGTATATGAAGTCCTGACTAGGCAAGGGATAGTAATGAGTCACGAATTCATATGGCATTCAGGAGACACACAGATATAAGTCACTCAAGCGATGAATTCTTTTCATATCACAAATACCATTTAATTCTAATCTGTTCTTGTCGACTAAGTTAGTAACCATTAAGTTCGTTTGTGAGCATCAGTAGCCTGACTTACCGTCAGTAGTTGGGAGCTGATACATTGAACCCAGATTGATGTATTCAGATATCATTTTTTTCAACAGTGAACAGCTCAAGTAATTAGAGTTTTGTGAGTCAGATAAACAAACAATGCCTAAACATTAATCAAACCTCAAAATGAACGTTTGAAACTCACTGAAGAATATATTCTCAAGCACTTTTATGCTGACAGACATATGAGAAGTCAGGCTGGTGATTTCAAACACGTCAGCTTCTTTATTTACTACTTTTTGGTCTGAGAATCACGAAGACATTGATCCATAAAATGATTATCCACTCTCAACAGTTGATGAGAAGAGTTATGATGTAAATTATAATGATCTGATGATATTTATTCTCCTATCAACTGGTATTGATCAGATTTCTCTTTAAGTAAAGTGTAGTAAAGTTTTATAAATGGAATTCGGAAGGGATTACATGAATCGTAGGACTACATGTGTAAACATCCGACTAGAAGGATAATGATTCATTTTAGAGGTTTATGGGGAATTTTATTGATTCCAAGTTGGTACTCACCGCGAAATGGTATCATTTGGAGAACTATCACAGAATCATCTTAGTATGAGACACTTAGGCGATTTTCACCGGTGACCCCATCACATATTGAACCTAGGACCTTTAGGTCCCTTGGGAAGCTGTTCTCAAAGGACCAAAAAACCTTCAAATGTGATATTCAAAAGTTCTTGTCTTTCAGTCAACTTAACTTATACTGGATGACCAGAAATCCTTCTTGTATTCTTTTTCCATCTTCTAGCCCTTTCAAAATTGTCCTCAACATAATTCCAAGCTTTCAATGGTGCAGTTCAACCGAGGAGTTTCACATGGATTTTTACACTAAATTTTACCAGTGTGCCTTAATAAGTCGAAACTGACACTCACAGATTTCTGATTTATATATATATATTACTGAATAAATTATTAAGTAGTAAAAATGTATACAGAAACAGTTGAAGTGATGCTACTAAATTTCCGATAGTGTTTACCTTATTGTCTATTTCTAGAAACCTTTTAATCAGTCTAAAATGATTTATTTTTCTTGTAAATTTTCTCAGTTAGTCAGTTACATATCAACAGTCAAAAAGATAACTCGTTAGAATCCGAAAAGAATTTCTGACGATCTACTCTTAGTACTAAAGGTAACTAACTGGAATACGATTTTGAAGACTATTATAGTTTGCTTCAGTATGGCTAACTGTACATTCCAGGATGCATTTTTTGTCTTAATTTAAACTCGTCAGCTGAACGCACACTCATCTAAGTGACCAATGCTATTCTTTTTGAAACGAAACCCAGTCATAATCTCTTCAAATGACAGCAGGCATCAAGCGTTATTGATTCTTGAAGTTTCCTGCCGAATATTATGATGGATCATAGCAACAGAGATGAATTCAGAGGCTCATTGGCCTAGTCTTTGGTACTCTGGAATTTGAAGCCGTTGGTGCTGATTTGAGTGTCATTAGGAACATCGTGAATGAATTGGGTTCAGGTAATTCTTGCTGATGAGACGTAAAGAAGACGAAATGGGTACCCTGGACTCTACTACTAGACACCAGTTAGAAAATTATAATATAACGAATCTTCAGGCAACAACTAGGGACCAGTCCGTTCGGTTTAGTATTACAAGGGAAAACTACGAGTACCAATAAACGGTTTTGAAGACTATTCTGTATTTACGCTTTGCAGTGTCGATCTTTGGAAATTTGGAGGTTTTAGTAGATCTATTCAAGGTAGTGACACTCATCACCGACTGATGCCCTCAAACTAGATTGTTCGCTGCTCAGTAGTGACGCTTTTTGAGGTTGTTTTCCATAGGAAACAATTTCTGAAATGAAGATTGGTGTAAATATTCGTTTAGGAAGACGTCAAAGAGTGAATACATCTGTGCCATCATGATCGGCGTTTAGCCACTTCACTAAGAGTTCTCAAAAACTGACACCTATCATCTCGAGGATCCGAATTAGCCAGGCAATCTACATCTCCGCAAGCTGCTCAGGCCAACAGTAAGGAACGTCATAGACGTGTCATGTCTTGGTCTGGCCACCTGTACTTAATCCAGCTTCCTGTAGCATGGCACGTCTCGGTAGACAGTGGTTTAAATTGCGCAGTTCATATATAAGCCATCTCAGTCAACTAAGGTTCACAAAGACATCAGTCAACTTGCCTGTCTTGCCTAGTACCCCTCGCCTGACCTCAGCATTGCTCACAAGGTGATTCCACCAAACACGAGCATTGGTATGAATGTACCTGTGATCAGAACTGTTTTGTAATCGTTACATGTGGACTACTGCTATGCAGCACACTCGCCTTTTAATAGGTAGTCAGATATCTCTCCAGCTGGTCACAGAGATGATGCAAGTTGGTGAATGCCAAACAGGCTTTCTCTATCCGAGATGAGATTTTGTCAGCAACTAGTCTGAAATGACAAAAGTGTGAAAGTATGGACCATTTGTTCTCGACCCAGGGGCTCCATGGTAACGTGTTTATTATAAGACCTGACGTTGTCGTGAATGCACACTTATGAATATTCCAAGGTTTCGTGACTAATATCATTCTGCCATGAATACCACATTGAAACATTATCAGTCGAGAGTGGATTATCTTTACTTTTTACACCCCTTCTTCTACTCTTTTCTTCGCCATACATCCACACGTCTTTTGTTTGTATAGGTGACTGGTAGCAGTGCTGACCTGAGAATTCCTTCTCATATCCTTGGATTGCACAAGAACTATTGCAGGCATCACATTTCATGTTCTTTTGTTTTAATTTCCATTGTTGGTAGTTAAGAGAGGGGACCAGTTGGTATAATCGAGGATTATATTACGGTAGGAAAATTTCAGAAGACAAACTTATCCTAAACAAATTCAGTAAGCTGAGCTTTTGGTAAAACGATCTTAACACTATACAACTTTAGTAATGATGGGCAGTGGCTAGGAGTGGAATCCTGGATTCCACTCCTAGCCACTGCCCATCATTACTAAACATAGTTAAAAGACAGGCCATATCGAGGCATCCGCATAGGAGCCCATATGCCAACAGAGGCTGATCAATTCCGTCCTATCAACGACGGTGTAATACAAGCAATAACACTATACAACTTTGATAGTGAAAATGATATGGAGGTTCGATACAAACCAGTTACAATACCGTGACATTAAGTATATATCAAAATTAACATTGATATATCAACCACACACTCATGATACTAATTCACCCTGTAAAATCCACCTAGAACAGTTTAGCGAAGGTACTTAGTCACTCAGTGTTGCAGTCAGCGATGTTTCCACCGGGCTACTCAGGCGGCGACTGGCCTCATGTAGGACTGTGTTATATACATCGATTGGTCATGGAAGAGCAGTCGATTTCATGCTGTTTAGTCCTGAGCGCTGACAGAATTCAATCGTGGTGACTCATGTTCTCTAAACACTCAGCTCACCTATCTCATTTCCTGAGAACTATTGAACAAACACACAATCTCTTTCTGGTAGACAACATCTGGTTTCCCCTGGTCCTGCATTTGTGGGTCTCGAAAACGCACTACAAATTAGCGATTGGCATTTATATCTGTTTAGGTTGTATTACTAACTTACTGGAGAAGAGCAGTTATAGCTTCAACAAAGTTTATAAATATCTTTCCTTATTTAAGATGTTAATTTGAACAATCTTGAAGAAGAAGATTACCGTCTAGATATTGTTCCGAACTGGACAACTCTTTGACGCTGTGTCACACATGCTCGACTTTCAGATTCATCCGTTTTTGTCAGCTCTTCTTCACTGTCATCATCATCTGTTTTACTGTTTTTCTCTTGACTACTTGATTCTTGTAAAATTTCACACCCCGGTCGAATATCTTTATCATCATCCTCATCATTGTCTGAGCTTTGACTTGATTTTTGATGTGTTGACAATGTTGTATCCGTTACTGATTCATCAGTATGACTTGTTGATATTTCTGTGTAGGATGAATCATGTGACGTCAATTCACTATCAATGGACTTCATAATTGGTGATTTTGATTTCCCAGTTGAAATTATTGAATGAACATCATCGGGTCTAATTATCAAGTTTTGGATATTGTTTAATACATATTTATTCATATTTATGCGAAGTTTTTGTTGTGATCTCTTCGACTTTTCACCATCCTCTTCATTGGATTCATCAATATCTTCGCTTTCTTTATGTTTTGTTGTCTGATTTAACAAATTACTACTATGGGTTTGATCAAAGCTATTAGTTGACTTGGTGACAATTGAGAAGATTTGATTTCCATTTGTTTTTCTGTTGTTAGTACTACCGGCTACAGGACTGATGGAAGAAGACGAACATTTCACTGAGTTAATTGTATCCATTTCAATCTCAGTATTCTCACTAGACATACTTTCAGTTAACAATATTAAATCCAACAGCTGATGTGGTCTATTGTGTTCAGTCTGTTTATTCAATTCATGCAAGTGATCAGCTCTTAAGTTTTCTGGTGTGTTTTCTGTCTTCTGCTTTAGCTCTGCTCGTAACTGTTCCAACTTTTTCTCATGTTGATTGACAACAGCTGTTTGTTTGATTAGACTATCATAGAGAAGATTGAGTTTTGCCAATAGGAATTCTTGTTCTTTCTTCAGATCTGTATTCATATACTTTAAAACTGATAAACTAGATTCATTTTGGTTAGCTGAATGATTTTCAGGAAGGGAGAGTGAGGCATCATGTGTGAGCAGACGCCAGGCACCTAGCTCACCAGTATTCCATTCAGCTTGATATTTTCCTAAACGACATACTGGTATTGGCAGTGGATCATCTACATCAACTGTTGTTGACAGTTTGAAACCTAAACATCCTGAACGCATTGATGAACTTGTTGATGTAGTTCTGAGTGAACTTGAGTAGACTTCATTCGATTCAGTATTATTATTATTAATGTTACGACTGCTATCAGTACTGAATTTATCAGCTAATTCAAAGCGTCGCTGTGACAGTAAATTTCGACTTATCTTCAGTGTAGGTGACTCAAGACAGTTGCGTAAGTTATGAATAAACTCTGTCGTTTTATTTGTCATTTTGGCTAACAACCCTGGAGGAGTAATACGATTTCTGAAGAGAAAACTCTGTGAAGAATAAATTGAACTATCCATATCGTTTGTGTATGTTCTTGATTTGTCTTTATTCCACAAGTAGGTTGGATAGATCAACTATCAAATTTACTTATTAAAATTAAATAGCCATCAAGTTTATCGATTTTATTTAGTCACGTGATCTGTTTTATTAGTCTCAAAGGATACCACTGAAGTACACTTGAAAACTCACTGTAATATACAGACTTAATTGAAAATTAACCCAACAGAAAACTATTTAATTGTCCTTTTTCTTATAAACTTGAAAGGAAGCAGCTTAAATGTAAATCAACATTTTAAGTTATCAGCCGCTAAGGTGAACTGAAATCTTGATTTTCATGCTACTATGTGGTCATGGAAAAAGCTGATTGGACAATTTTGTCCCACAATTGGACAATCAAATTAAATATTCAACTTTTGACCTAGTTGCTTTTATGTTCATGAAAACCATTGTATATAAGTGGTGTATTTTTATCAAGTAAAATATATTTCTTACAGTCACAGGCCAGTCTTTATTTTGTGATTTTCGCGGCTCACTGAAGTATAAGATTCTGAGGGAGAACAGTCATTGTACGAGTCCAATCCAAGTATCTCATCGCGTCATTATCGTTGTATCACTGAGTATAAGCGAAAACGGACACAGGACGGAAGCATTTATTTAAGGGGTCTGCATGTTCACGAAGCGAACTAGCCAAAATCATTTACTGTAGACAAGTTACCTAACGATTTTGCATTTGCGAGGTAGATAAATGTTCTGACAAAGTCTAGTGATGACTGAAAGCAGCCTGTGTTTTTCTGACATGGTGTTCTACTTTAAAAGTGTTATGAAAGACAGTGAAGGGTGATCCGGCATATTTTACGGGGAGATATGTAAGATCCTACATATGATATCAGATTGTTGCAGGTAAAAAAGAATGGAGGAAGGATGAAGTGTGATAAAGAAACATGTTTTTTCTAGAATGAAATGTATACCATTTCTGAATTCTAAGAATATGAATAACGGACATGTTTATGGCGAAGTTGGAAAGTGGTCCACTGCGTAGCACGATAGATAAACTGTCCTTCTATTGTAGATACGTGGATGACACTTTCATTCTGTACAAAAAAATGATACTAATCCTGACATTCTTCATCATAAATTCAACAGCACTCATCCAGAAATCAAATTCATATGTGAAACAGAGAAACACGAATGTCTACCATTTCTAGATGTTTTGCTATCAAGACGAACGGATGGCGGTATCAGACGCAGTATTTAATGTAAGAAATCATTGGTTGGTCAGTATACACATTTCCGATCATTTGTCTCTTGCGTACAAAAGGAATTTAATCCATACACTGATGTTTCGAGCCAGTAAGATTTGCGCAGCTGATACTTTGAACCATGAATTAAGAATAATAGAGAACTCCTTATATGAGAATGGCTATCGTGAAAAGTTCATCAAGACCGTAACAGCTAGAGAAAAGCACTCTCAAGTGGTGCCGAAGAAACGATTGTACCTAACCTTAGGGTTCAAAGGAGATGCAGATGCAGAAACACTGACATTGAAACACAGAAGTTCGATACAAAAAACCTTCTTTACTGCCACACTTTGTTTGAAATTTACTACTCGTTGTATGATGCCAATTCAGTTGAAGGATAGGCTTCCGAATCTGACCACATCTATGTACATTTATAAATCTAACTTCTCCTACGAAGATCGTTACATAGGTAGAGCGACTGGGCAAGCCCATTATCACTTCATTGAACACTATCCAGCATGGTTAGGCAAAGGAACGGTGAAATCCATCAACAGCTCAATACTCTCCCATCTAGTAGATACTGACATTGGTAAGATTGACAAAACCTCAGCATTTATTATTATTTACAAAGTCTCATCATAATACACTAAGTTTGTGCCCCTTCAATTGCTAAGCATAGCAATTAAAATTTTCAAACCTAATTTATGTATTCAGAAGATGTTTGTTCGTTCCCTTTTCCTCCCATGGCCTTCAACTTCAAACCAGATACAATTACAATAATTTCCTTTCCGATCATTCGGATAAGTATAAATATGATCTCTATTTGTACTCTTATCATTATCATCTTATATTTCGCTTTTGGTTTCATATTTGATTAAGAACTTTAGCATTTTATTATCTAGTCGCTATACGATAATAATTTTATTTATACTGGGTATTGATTGAAGGTGAAATGAAAATTTGGACCTCAGCCGGACGAAGCAGTGACCACCGGGTTTTTCGCCAGATGCTCTGCCAGTTGAACTATGAGGTCTGACTGCTGACCAGATTTTTATTTCACTTCAATCACCATGGGTCAAACCTCGTAGCTCAGTTGGTAGAGCATCGGGCCGGAAACCTGTTGGTCGCTGGTTTGATTCCGATCTCTATCTAAATTTTCATTTCACCTTCACTTTCCCTATCCCTTCAACATGTTTGAAAGAGCTGATATTATTGTGTACTGACAAAGTTTATTTCACATTTGAAGGTGAACATTTTCGATAAATAGATGTTGTGTCCCTGATGAAGTCCCTAGGACTGTTGCTACCTGGTATTTAAATGTCACATATTAAAGACTTGACCGATGATCTCATCAGTAAAGTTACTCTCTATAAGAGATACATTGATGATATAATTATGAACACGACAATAATGAAGGTGCCACATGTTTAGGGTTAGAAAGACTTAACGTTGTACAAAACAACACAAACCTAACATGTGAAGAAGAGAAAGGAAATCATCTGCCGTTCCTGTATATACTCCTAGGTCATAGAAACGATGTTTAAATAAAACGATTGATTTACAGGGAACTCACTAAGATAGGTTAGTACTAAAGTTTTCATATCTTTTGTCCAACTCAGTACAAGCGAGTTTTGCTAACTTGTCTGTTCAAAAGAATCCAGTGTATTTGTACGGAAAGCTCAATGGATGATGACATCAAAATATCTACTGAAACATTACGGGAAAGGGATGTCCATTGAAGTTCATAAACCACTGCAAAATTCAACCAGGATTATAACCCAGTCTGTACTCTGTTTCGAAGAAATGGGTTCACATCACGTTACCATACAGAGGAGAATCTAGTAAGATAATATTTAAAGGAAGGTTAAGGTTTACTGTTAGCAAAACATACTATGCTAAGCTTATCATAGTTGAGAAGACCAAACAGCTGCTGAAACATAGACCTGAATGCTGTAGAAACGATTGCGTCTCAACCAACTGAGTTTATAAATTAACATGTGTGTGTGGATAAACGTACATAGGCAGGATTAATCGTGATATGCACTTGAGGGTAGGGGACCATGTACGAAAATGATAACAAAACCAACTGGATCCACAAATATCGATAAGCGCAGGTGACAGACAACCATTATCCACATCCATTGCAAAACATGTGTCATTGATAAGGGTCACAGGATTGATATTAAAGCAGCCTTTACAATTTTGCATACTTAGTCTTGTTGAAGCGCTAACCATAAACAAATTTAACCCACCATCATGTATGTACAAGAACAGTTTGTTCTTACACTAAGTCTACCCTGGTAGTGCTTATTTTATCGCATTACCAAGGTTGTCTTCAAATCTTATCACCTTTTTCTTCCTTTCATTATTTTTCTTATTACTGAATCCTTTATTTCATATTTCTCCTTTCCCACTTCCAGTTTTTATGCAAAATGCCTTAAGAAGTGAATATGTGGGAATCAGGTTGTTCGAAATGTACATCTCAAATACATCACATTTTTCAGATAATCTACATCTTCTAATTATGGTATTCAGAAGATGTTTGTTCGTTCCCTTTCCCTCTCACGTTTTTCAGCTTCAAGTCAGATACAATTGCAATAACTTCCTTCCCGTCACCCGGACAAATGTAAATATTATCTCTGTACTGTAACCATTATACTGGGTGATGACTGAAAGTGAAATGAAAATTTTGACCGCTTCCAGATTCGAACCAGCGACCTTCGGGTTTCCATCACGATGCTCTACCTAGTAGCTCAGTCGGTAGAGCATCGGGTCAGAAACCTGTGGTCGCTTGTTCGAATCTGGAAGCGGTCAAAATTTTCATTTGACCTTCAATTATCACCCAGTATAAATACTGCAAGTCTTCCAAACCACAGCCATCTCAGATAGTCAAGTGATAATCTAATCATTATCATTTTATTTCCCCTCCCTTAGTGTCATAATTGTTTAAGAAGTTTTACATTTTATTATCTAATCGCTAAGCAAGAATAATTTCATTTCCTTCTATCCCTACACACACACACACCTCACTACTTATATACCTACAAGGTTTGCCTACTGAGAATATGTAAACTTTCCGAGATTTTATCTGGAGGTTTATTAATTGATTAAGGTTGAAATTCTTCATGAACTGACATCATTTGGAGGGACGTTGAAAACTTAGAGCACTAGACAGCTGTTTTCGTCCTAGTATGGGACTCTTCAGTAGTGCGCACCTATGACCCCGCCCCACTAGGGATCGAATCTAAGACCTTCAAATTCCATGAATATCACGTCACCATTCACCCACTAGGTCCGTTCACATTTCCTTCTTCTGCCAGTTCACGATATAGCGCAACCTACATGCAATATCATCGTTGAGTAACTGTCCTCATGTTCGATTTGGCTGACTCCGAGATTCTGTTTAGTTATCATTGCCTTTAGTGTTATCTTCCAATTCAAACATCCGAATAAATTTAATCATGTTGGTATCAAATAAAGACTATGCTGAAATAATCTGTATATGTAAAAGTAAAGCCTGACAAGAATTGATCAAAAATATGTCTTCTAATCATCACTATGAAAATATTTAAATTATTTTCAGTTTAATACAGTTACTTCTATCTAGTTGAGTTGTTCAGATATCAAGTAAAGTTCACTTCTTTGCACTCTTCTTCTTTGCTGTTCCACTAGTTGCCGACTTTTTTGATTGTGGACGTGGATAAGCGTCAACCAGTTTCTTAGCAAATTCTTGTGTAAAGCATAAAAATATGAAAAATCATAATCAACTGTTCAATGCTCAATTTTGTATACATACTTGATACTGATTTCTGTTCTTGAATGGTGTATATATATACTTTAAAATGTTATCTCTTAAGTTACACAAGCTTGGATATAACTTCGGTCAACTTGAATCAAGAGAATTTGTAGAAACTGTTAAAATTTCAGACAGTGATACCCAGATGCAATGGGTTAGATACTTTAGTTAAACTTCTTGTCTGAACCTAATCATCGAGATCGCTTCAAGTAAGTAACCGGTAGGTAAGCAAATGAAAAACGTTTTGCATGCTTCAGCTTCATCAGAATGACGAACTACAAAAGGCGTTTTCCGTTTATGGCTGACTGTGAATGGTACATAGAATTTAGTTTATAGGACAAGCAAGATATGCATTCCTATTTTATTTGTAGTCTACTGACAACAGGAAATAAGTAGTATTTATTTGATCTAATGTTTAAAATCTAACAAAGGAATTACGTTGCTTTTTTAATTGGCTTAAAACTAACTTTTGGGAAGGAAACAACAGTTCTTCTTAAAACACTTTAGGGCTGAGGTTTAATAAGGTCTAATACTATTCGTAAAGGCATATACATGTTTAGCAATGCCAATTCAACTGAAGTCGACTGTTTCAGAAGTAAACTTATAAACATAGTGACTGTCAGCAATGCAGTAACTACAATTCGTGAAGGTTTCGCTTAATAAGCGTTATAAACGTACCCGACAAAGTACCTTATCAGACAGCAGATATTACTTAGTTGAGAAACGCTCAAAGTAAATCATGTTGTAGTACTAAACGAGAAACTCAAGAATCACGAAAACTAGGAGTGTCTCATTGAGAAGTTCATTACTTGGTCATTGTCTATCACACCAAAGCGTATTGTGTACCAATTTCGGAGGTGAATGAGTTGAATGACGTGTGTAAAATTCAGGTTTCAAGATCACTTCTTCGAACTTACAAGGATGTGTTTCTACGTAGATGACCTTCGTTTAAGATGACAATGATGACAGAATGTAGAATCTTCTTGACATCCTAAACCATAATGTGGCTCTAAAATAGTTAAGTTGGTGATGACGATGTCGTTCAGAAAGACGATGAAAGCTTCGCGATTGCATAACCCAGCTCAGAGAACACAATACAACCAAGAATAATGTGGTTCGTTTTATATTTTTTTTATATGTCCCCTGACACTCAAGACTCGTTCAACTCAGTGCCCTATTTGGTGACGTAGAAAAAAGTCATTAAACAAATGAAGTTCTCCAGTTGTTTGGGAAGTTATATGAGCCCTTAGGAGTTGCCCACGCTGATGAGCTCATTCGGGACCAAGCCAACGAAACGGCCATGCAGTGTTTAAATCACACTGGATTGGCTGCCGAAAAATACAGATCATCTGGAAAGGTCTCTAACCCCTCAAAAAGTATGCTCTGACGACTTGATGTCTAACAAAACTTCTGCAGAAGTAAATAAGGCTTGACTGGTTGCGCTGGCAACAGTGCGCAGTGTTCTGTTCCAAATACTTTAAGATATACAAATCCAAAATGAATAATTTACTTGAACCTCAGGCATTTAATAGCCGTTTTATCCAAAAAATCTCCAACATGCAGTAGAATCACTACACTATATGATTATTGTCAAGGTTGAATTCTCCAAAACTAGACAAATAGGTCAACTCAGGTAGTTGACATAGTTATTAAACTCGTCACTAATGCTAATCTGTAGTATACTTTGACACATCAGATTATCTGAAATAAGTTGAAATTAGCTAAGTGCTTAAGACGGTCGGAATAAGAAGAGACACCAATCCACTGATATCAATGACAGATAATGGCTAGCGCGTGTTTCGTCCTACCTCAAACTCGTCAGCTGGATGCACCTGCCTCCCAGTGAGCGACGTTGTTCTCACCGGAACTCCGACTCAGGACCGACCTCCTCAAACCTAAAAGGGTCATGCACTAGACCGCCGAGTCCCCACGACCACTTCTTGTGCGACAGGTATAGTTTTAGTGTATAACTAATATATATCACTAATGTACAATTCAAGCACGGGCAGCATCGAGGAGTCTGCGCAGGAGCCCATGTGCCAATAGAGACCAATCAACTCGATCCACTCAGCGATGGGATAGTACAAGCAACAACACTAATTCACTTAGTCTGCAACTGTTGTGATAGAATTATGCAGCACAGAGTTTTCTTCTTGTTCGAAGAATACCAGCCACCTGAAAACCGATCACTGGAGACATCAAGGGAAATGTTATAAAATAGACTATACTGACACGCATATTCACGCTTTGACCTTTTGTAAAAATGGAAAATACGCCGTCCCATTTAGGTAGGCGAAAAAGTACTTCCTGTTAAGAGTAATGCTTCTTATATATTGGATTGGACCTGAGGTTAATTAATTCCGGTTCTTGGTTATCGAGGTAGACCTTCATCTGGCTTTGTGTGTAAGCGAATTACCACTTTTCCCGCTAGTCCAGTACTTTCAACAGCTAGAACTTATACCGTCGGTATCTTCTTTCATCTCAGTAGTGATAATTTGGGTCTGAAAACTCTACTTCTTCCACAGTCGCTTTCCGATACGATATAATCATAGTTCACTCATTGTCTTTGGGATAAGAATAAACCGCCACTGAATAGTTTCATAACACGATCCACTTCAGTTGTCACTTCTCATACAAACTTTGCAATATTTCATATTGAAGATATTCGCTAATGCTATAATCTACTTAGTGGCTAGCAGGAGAATCTACTACGTGGATTTCGTCTTTTTGCGACTCGTCAGCTGGATGTACAAGCAACCCAGTGAGTGATGTTGTTCCCACTGAGACTCAAACCTCGTATCCTTTGCTTCAAATCCCAAAGCGTTAACCACTAGGTCACTGGGATATGAGAGACACATCCTGTGCAACAAGTATCAGTTAACGTTTCGTTCTTGTAAATTCCTGTTGCCATCTTGGATCAAACTACTTGGCCGTTGTTAACAGATGGGCTCCTGTGTGGATGCATTGAAGCTACTCGTCTACTCATCATGTTGCGATCTGTTCTTTAGGAACAACACCATTCACTGCTGTGCAAGTACATCCAGATGACGAGTCCTAAATAGGCCAAAATGCACACCTTGGGTTTTACTACTAGGCACCATATAGATTTCAACATTTTGAGTCATCTCCCATCAGAGATCAAACTATTCGACCGACAAAACAACAACTGATACCCCTTGCATAACGGATAACTCTCATTCTTGTTCTTTACAAAAAAAGCCAACAAATACGAAAACAAATCCTCACTATTCATCATACCATCATAAGGCCATTTTCCGTCTGTTCCAGGTGCAGCTTCTTTGAAAAACTCATTGCATTCCCTGTCTGTAAAACAATCACCAACTGTTAACAGCATGGTTCGCATTGGCTCTGTATCGACAACACCAGATTCAAGTTTATCAAAGTACTATAATCAGAAAGAACAGAGAAATGATCAAGAGTAGAGTAGAATTAAACATCCATAAATATATTCCATTGAATGTTATTATGTGTAGAACAACTGATAAGAAGTAGGATACAGTAAGTGGCTTACAAGAAATGCATTGTTTATTTGATTCCACCGTTCATCTCTTGTTTTTGAATACGTTCTGATTATCTCTGTGAATTGTTCCAAGTCTAGAGGAATGCTTTCTTTAAAAGTTAAATTAAACAAGAATACAGAAATTATAGGTTGGTTACATTCACATTCTACAACATCATTAGTCAATACGACAGTAAATTCTTAGAAAGGTATGTGTTATTCAAATCTAATCAGCAAAACACCTAATTTGAACAAACCTACTCCTTTTTTGTTTCAAATAGTCGTGAGTTTGAGCTAATGTACATTTGTCAATGAATTTAAGGTGAATATTAATGTTGAACAAAGTGAGTGAACATGTGATGCCATGTATCAAGTTTATATCATGTTTCTACACTTCATATGACTACCGTACATACGGTGATAAGCCTTACCTGGACCAGTTCCTTCTAGATCATCCGGTGTATAATCAGAGTAGATTTTATTCAAATCACCTTGAGATGGACACTGACTTAACATCTGTAGACAGCGACATATTTGAATTAGTGTGACTCTTCTAGTCTTTGCGGATGCTGCTGAATCGTAAATACCTAAATGATACAAAGAGACAAAAAACAATTGTAGTTCTACGTAAAATGTTACTCTGAATAACCATATATATATATTTCTCCAAGGTAATATTCACTGCAAACTGGCATGATTTGGAGAACCATTGAAAACCTGAGAGCACTCATAACCAGACCTCGTCGGGGATCGAACTTAACGGCTTCGGTTTTCATAGTGAACGCATTAACCAGCGTGAATTGCATTCAAGGCCATCGGTTGGCATCCACTTTACTTTTGACTGGTTAACCTCATAAGCCATGGCTTCATATTACAACTTCAGGATATCCCTCTGGGATCATGTCACTAATGAGTGCTATGCAGTGGTGTAGACTGAGATTTATGAGGATTTTGTGGAAATATTCATCAAGAATAGTCGTGCCATGCACGAATTGACAGAAGTTGGAAATTGTGAAGCATCGAACTGCAACCCAGTGGTTGAATGGCTAACGTGCCTGCTGTGAACTCTGAGTGCTTCAAGTTCGGTCCCTGACGGGATCATGGGTGTGTCCTGCTGAGGAGTCTCTTACTAAAACGAAACAGCTTTCGAGTTCTGTAAGGTTTTCAATGGGTCTCCGACTGATTTCAGTCCACGGTGATCACCACCTATATACCACCTTCTCAAACACTTTGCGAATTCTGTGAATTGATCAGTGTTGTGTAAACGATTTACTTGTCTAGTTCTCACTGCTCAGAAGTGAGGGAGGTCTAATGATCTAGTTTGAAATAGTAGTAGCAGTAGTGTGAGTAGTAGTGTGAGTAGTAGTAGTAGCAGTAGTAGTAGTAGTTATATTTATGAACAACGGGGAACGCACTACTCTAGGGAGATCAAACTCGACTCCCAAAGTATGATGGAGATATGTAGATGACACATTGACAGTGCTTAAATCAGAATATATCAATACATAAATGCAACAGATGTTGTAATCCAACTCATACATGAACAATAGGGTGACGAAAGAGAACTAATTATGCTGGATTGCGAAATTAAACGAAGGTGGGGTGGAGGTTCAGAGACTGCTGTCTATGAAAAGCCTTCAAAGTTTAATCAGTGCTAGGACTTAAGGTCATCCACCCAATGTCAGTCGAGCTAGGCTTGCTCAAATGTTTAACTAACAGGGCAAGAAGAGTGACTAGCCGGACAGAAAATCTGTGTCAGGAAATGAGTCTACCCAGAGACACAAATAGTAAAACAATACTAAGGGTAATCAAAATACAAACACAAGAAATGTTATCAATGCAACCATGAAGAAGGATTTTGAAACTTCCATATTTTTCCCACATAAAGGAGGGATGTAAGAAGCCTGATTTTAAGATTCTTATTGACAGCAGGATTAAAGTGCTATTCAACCTCGAAAACTGACTTGTAAACAAATGTTTTTTGGCTAATTGATCCCATTGAACCCATTAAACAAAACAATTCAGTCTATTAAATACTGTGTATTGACTGTGAGACCAAATATATAGAACAGACTAGCCAACAAGTGCCAGCTAAGTTAGCGGAACATTAAAACCCGGCCAAAAATAGAATAGTAGATCAGCAGTTAGATAGGAAATCTAGTTAAGAGCTCAGCCAGAGTCATACACACTGTCACACACAACCACATAACAAGATAGAAAAGAGAGAGATTCGATGCAGAGAGAAGTTGATAACTGAAGCTTTCTTTATGGAATCCACACCTGACACATGCGATGAAAAGGACACAACACCAATTTCGGATATTTGGAGCATTTTAAATCAAAGCTTAACAAACAACAGAACTATAAAACTAGACTAGAAAGTTACTTGACAGGCTTGACATGGTTATGAACAGTAAATTCTGCTCGAAACTTCATCTTCCAGTACATAATATTGTCTCATTGTGTGATATATATGTAAAAGAGAAGTATAATGGAACTATACTCCACCACAGTGCTGAAATTCTGTTCTTATATTGATCGCATCCCTTACTTTTTGTTCAAAAAAGTCTTACTGATGTGTGTCGACCAGTATGTATATAATAATAAAACATGATTTGGAAATCACTGGCAAAGTGTGCAATCCACTCTGACACCTGTTCTGTCTCAGTGATGTTTTTGTTCATGCATCTATGATGTCATAAGTTTTAACACAAACTTCTTTTTAGAGATAACTGTGAGTTGCCTGCTTACATAGATATAACAGGAGGTAAGGTAACAGTTAGTTGGAAAGAGACAGTCGACAAAAAGCCCTGCTTGAATATAATTTCATGCTTTTTGGCACTCGTCATTAACCTCGATGTAATTGATATCCCTTGTGAGATTCAAACGCACGTTGCCAGTGAGCTATTCGGGCCACGATTTAGTTCCTGTGTGACTAGATTGTGTACACTGATTGGTTGCTGCAGGGTAACCAAGTACATGCTTTCTAGTTCTAAGTGTTAGTCGAATTCGATTGGGAAGCTGCCCTGTATTCACTGACCAGAATTCATTCCGATATAGTTAAGAAAACCCTTAAGTCACCCTGAGTGTTTTCTAAATACTCACCTCCTGCATTGTTTCCAATCTCCACTGCAATAGAGATTCTATCAAAAGAAATGTTTTCAGAAATAACGATTAAATAAACTATATCCAACAAGCTAAACAGCATCTTGTTTAAAGAAAGAGTTTATTCAATGATTCAACGTTTAATTTCGATTTCAGACAGTTTAAAAATAATTCTGTTTTCAAGAAGAGATATAAAACATGTTATGGGTTAAGGAGAACGCAGATGTCCATGAACAATAATATAAACAAGTAAGTGTTGATCATTAGTATTCTTTGAAACGTGAAAGTGAGAAATCTTACGTTTTAAAAGGATTACTCTCATTTCTCCCTTCACAAACACTCGAAAATGACACCAAAAGAAGGCTAACTTTAAGCTTTTTCATGAGTTTTTGAGAAAGAATAAACGATTGAATCGTCTACTGAACTGATGGTTTAAGATTCACATTATCCATGCATTGTCGCATATCATTTTTACTTCTAAAATCCAGGTCCACTTTTGGAATGTACAGTCACCTATATTGCGCAGAGTTTTCTACGCTTCCCCTCTGAATATCCGCTCCATCTAACTGTCAAATATATTGTCATACAGTTTGATGATTACACAGCTCCTTCTGATAATTGCTGATACCTGATATTCCATGGTGAATAAACTGAGTTGGAGGTTCAGTGGCACTTGTGACGGTTAAAAGTTCCTCGTCACAGTGTTCAAACTTTTGTAAGTGATTTCTAAACAACCGACTGGTAAGAGACTAATGATGTAATTTATGAAGTTCTAGAAGTTGTATTTATGAAATTCTTTTGAGTGATGACTTGGTGCAATGATCTATCGAAGGTAACTACAAAATCCAAAATAACAATATTAATGTGTTTCTGTTCATATACAGAATGTTAAGTGATTCTTAGAAAAGTGGAATAACTGAAGAGGCTTATGACAGCAAAATAAGTGGACTTACATATTCAAAAATGGCGATTTATATTGAAAGTTTTATTCAGCTTCTGGTATTCATTCAACTGATCGTTTAAGATAGATAATCTAATCCCTAATAAGACTTTGTACACGAATGTGGTTTCAGTATGTAATCGTCACCAGTATAAAAAAGATGGCACAGTAAATAAATGCACCAATCTACTAAGATTTTGTCCCCGTAAATGGTGAATATTTGAACCAGTATTCACTCAGTAATCGGATCCTCACCCTGCAAACTGGTAATCAGATCTGCTTTCCATTCCCTAGCTATCATCATGCTGTCTACCTAGACAGGTCCTCTCTACCCCCGTTAATTTTAAATGGTTGTTTTGTCGTGAATAAAACTGTTTGAAGAAGTTTTAGTCGAAGAAGTATAGAGACAGACTTCGACATCCAGCCAGTCAGTCATCATCATCGTAAATGTTGGTCCGTCCAACAAGAAAGGCTTTCTCAAAATAGTCGAACTAATCAAAGCATATACTACTTGGATTAAATGATGAATTTAAAAAAAAACCTACTTTTAATGACACTGTCTTTCAAAATCTGACTATTCTGTCGACTAACACACTGTTCACCTCCATCTGGTTCTTCTTTCTTCTCAGAGGTATTATCCTGTTCAAAAGTACAAAATGTATACCATTAAACCCTAAACAATCATTGTATTTGATAATGAGATAGTTTAAATACCTTCTACCGGATCAGTGAGGTTCACTGATGATGGTGTTGAATACTGAGGTCTTCTGTTGTCAAATAAAGTCTCAAAAATCATTGAGGTTGACAATGAATACTGACCAGCAATGGTATCTAAAATACGAAATTCGTCTTATTTGCAAGTGTTCACCTAGGTGTACTTGTTTCTATGTAGGTGTCATTGTCCTTAGATTCAAACCCAGTATCTATCACTTCAAGCACCGAGTTTTTATCCTGAGTGTTATGGAATCACTCCTTGAAATCCCTTGAGAAGGCAAAGTATATATTCATTTCAGGATTAAATGAGAGTGAAGGTTAGTGAGTAGTTCAACAATCGCATGTTGCGTTTCATAACCTTCAGGAATTTCCATGATATAGTGAATTATTAGTCATAGAATATTCAGATAATTAGCTTTTATTTCAATATGTTACCGAAAACATGTCAATATTAGGAACCTTCAATCTCAAATACAAGCAGTCGCTGGCAATACAACTGAAGGAATATACTGGATACTTTGCAGTAGTTGAGAACCTCTGTAGCTGTATGTAGCAAAGTAAGATTTTTCGTGTTTCATGGGTGTTAATATTTGCCTGTGAACTATAAATCACCACACTTGACAGCTAAAGTAGGATTTACCGAAAACGATGAAGTGGTGATGTAAGGAATTTAGGAAAATCTTAATTTGAAAGTTTTTCAGTATTGTCTGATTTCAGAGGAGCATTCACTGCAGAAAGACATCAGTTTGAGAACGATTATAAGCCTGGAAGCACTGCTTGACAGTTCCATGCTACGGCAAAACAGCTGTACAATGCTCTGAGGCCTTTTAATGGTCCTCTGACTGATTTCAATCCATTATAAATCCCTCCTTGAAGTCAGCCAGTCTCCGCAAACTTCCAAATTGAACTACTATCCATTGAATGTATGAACAAGTAGACGACGACGACGACAGCAGATGACGTTCGCACCATATCTTGAATTAACATAGTGAAGTACTAAGATATGAACCACTGAATTCCTACTAGGTGGCTGAATAGCGGCGCCCTGGCTGCTGAACATGTTGGTCATGAATGCGTGCTGCTTAGAAGTCCCATAATTAGACGAAACAGCTGTCCGATGCATCTAGGTTTGTAGTGGTTTGTTTACTGATATCAGCCGATGTAGAAAACTACCATGTGATTTTATTTAACTCTTCATCTCTTGGAAGAATGAAACAGTTGTGCTCAGTACTCGGAAGTCTGACAATAAGCTCACTCCTTTATTGTCTAGGTCGTCGGTCAGACATGGTGAAAGATATCAGGGGATGTTTGAGATGTATATTTCGCAGAAAATCAAAGTTCACAGGAATAAAGGTTTCTTTATTCCCAAAGTCTGAAAAAAATCGATCTTATCCCATTGTCACGTCTCAAAGTTGATTACAAAAGAATTTTGAAGTCAGTTGATCATACTGAATCAAGTGGGAAGTTCAAAACTGAAAAGTAGACAAAGTGGAGCCGTTTACTATCCAGTAACTGCTCAATTCACTTCAACCATATATGAGGTTGCTAGTAATAATAATAACATTATTTATTGACATACTTGTTATTTTCCGTTGTTTTGTTGGATCGAATTGTTTCACCTGTATTGGCATATGGGCTCCTACGCGGATACCTCGATATTGCCTGAATGTTAATTATGATAAGTTGGTTGATTGTGGCCAGCAGAAGAATCCGGGACGCGTGTTTCGTCCTATTTAGGACTCGTCAGCTGGATGTGCCTGTACCTCAATGATGTTGCCTCACTGGGACTCGAACCTCGTACCCATCGCTTCAAACGCCAAGGCGTTATCCACTATGCCACGGAGGAACGATAGCCGCTTCTTATACAACGGGTAGTAGTTATTACGCCTTGGCGTTTGAAGTGATGAGTATGAGGTTCAAGTCCCAGTGGGAACAACATCACTGGGGTACAGGTACATCCAGCTGACGAGTCCCAAACAGGACGAAAAGCGCGTCCTGGATTCTTCTGCTAGCCACAACCAACCAATTTATGATAATAACATTAATAATAACAATAGTGGCTGTATTCTGTAAGTTATTTCGTGAATACTCCGCAGAATTCTCAGCACATCATATAGCAGCAGTTGTATAGATACAGTATACATGTATATATAATGAAATAAAATAAGCAGAAGTTATACACATAAAAGATCAGCATATTTACTGCATCTACAACTCTCTTGAGAATCCACTGTTAAGTTAGATAAACAATCACATTAGCACTAAGCTTCTTAAAACATAAACTAGTTTTTTTTAACTAGTTTGCTTTCAAAAATAAAAGTTGATCAGTTAGTTAATTTCCAACTCTTTCTTCATCACACGGAATACGAGCTAAATTAGGAAGGTATTGTAGAATTTTTATATTTCATTGTACTCTCATTATGTCTTATATACTTGCTCCTGATCTTGCTTGACAACTGACACGTAGACAGCTTTGAGTGAAGAGAATTCCGGTCACCAGATAAAATAACTCCTACCAGATATTTACATGAGTCAAGCAGGTTTAGGGGTGTATGACTAGTTCAGCTGACAATTTTCAAAGTTCTACGCATTACGGCATGGTCTGTTATTAGTAACGTGGGAAAAAAATAGAGGCGAATAGGCAAGCTGTAGAAGTTTACAAAACATAAGAGAAGAGGCTGAGTCATACCCGATACTCTCAGCTTCCTAATATAAAAATTTAAGCAAGAGATTCTTCTGGAAATAAAGAGCTGTTCAGTTCAATACACAACTATTAGAGCTATAGGGTTTTTGATGATTACAGTTCGTATTAAATGTCTAAACTACTAAGGCCAAACCAATCACTTCCAGGCTCTACATAAGTTGTAAGAAAGAATGAGAAAACTAGCAGAAACACACAGCTGAAGTGAAGCAAAGTCTTCTGACCATTATCTCCAACTATACGACATTGTGTGAACGACCTGTTTGCCCAACTTCTTACTGTTTATACTGAAACTAATGTCATCAAGAGATCAAGCTAGAAGTCATTGTTCGAAGTTATGTATACTCACTGAAGGATTTATCGATGTGAAGGCAATTTTCATCATTAACTAATGTCATTTAGAGAACCACTAAAAACATAGGAGTACTAGGCAGCTACTTCGTCCTAGGATGGAACTCCACAGCAGTGCATAAACACCGATTTCAGTCCGCGATGAATACAGCTTTCAAACAGACGCACACTGATTGGTCAGTCAGTGGAGAACAAACAGTTCCATGTTGTGACTAAATTCTGTCGACCATTTTGCAATGCAATCGCCTAGCTAGAAGGCTCACCATCGGAGTGCACTTTAATGAAGACAATAGGAAGGAAGTCCTGGACCTAGGTTTTGTGCCTACTGAAATTCGTCAGCAAACTGGAAAGAAACGTTGACCGCCTGAACAGCTCAATGGTTACATCGCTAACTGCAACACCAAATGATATGGGTCCGAATATCTGAAGGGATATCACTTCTGTCAAGATTTCAGATACGCTTCGCTGGCAAATCCCAATAAGCATGAAACCTAAGTGGAAGACGTCCTGCGGATTGCCTACACACAACTAATAGTAAAACGTAAATAATTCATACTAATACACACATAAATAAATAAATATATATAAAGCTTTTTGACAATTACATACCATCAATAAATCAAAACTTGATGGACTTCTCCGACGCACAATTAGTGTTCTTCTTTTATGACCAAATATGACGTCACAAAACTTTTACACAACTAAGGAGGAAAAAAAAATGAAATAACCTACTACTCAACTTACCTGTACACATATTTACTGGATTGTTATCTAACTTCAGACCTTCAAAAGTTCTGAAGAACAGAAATCACTTACCTTGATCGAAAAAGATATCAAGCCGGATCGATGAAATTTTGTTACACAATATTGTCTGCCAGAAAAATGCATAAAGCAAAAGATTTTCGATGAAATAAATTGCATGGAAATGGTTATTCTCTCTTTAATAAGATGAGTTAACCACTTTCTAATGCGCTGTCAAGGTGACCGCACACACACACACACACACACACATACACAAACATGTACAATGAATAATGATTCTTGTTCCTATGGTTGCATGTAAAGAGAACCATGAAAGGTCCTATTTTTTACTCATTACTTGTGCAGGTTTTTGTGTTTTAAGAGTTATGCACCAATCTTTCCTGCTTTCTTTTACTGTTATACTTTTATAGCGAGTTTAATTGAGCGATTTTATTGGTTAAACAAGTTCTTTTCTTTTCGTTTTGTTCTTCTATGATCACTAGAAAGTACTACTTCTGATCGTTATTCTTATCATTAATACTATTTTTCTTGAAAGTACATCTACACTTCTGTCAACAATTTTCCTATACTTTGTTTTTATTTATACATAATCAAGTAATTAAGGTATGTTTTCGATATACAGATTTAAGTACGTTCATCAAATCAATGCTTATTTTACTTGTTAATTTAGCGTAAAAGTACATTTTCCTGTGAGTACTTTTTCGGTTAGTTAGTTAGTTAGTTAGTTAGTTAGTGAGATGCTTAGGAAGCTAGAGAGAGAGACTGTATGGTTTGCGGTCTAACCTAGGTTCTGAGTAGGTCTCTATGCATGAGTATTGTGGATATTGATTTTGATGATAATTAGTAACCAGAAGGTGAATGATTTAGCTGTTAAGTCCTCTGTAATCAGCGCAAACTGAAGTTTTTTTCAGTAAGAACTTAGCAACTGGGAATATACAGCTTCACTATTAAGCAATTGTTGTTCATTTCTTATACTCAGTCGAGTTTTATAGGGGGTTGTTATTAGTATGAATAGCTCGCTTTGAGGTAGGACGTTACCGCTGAGTGACCCAAATCGGAATCACTAAGGGATTACCAATTTTCTCATGGTTGTAGATACGCCAGACTGATGAATGTGAACAGGTCGAACCAGGCTTCTTGAGGAATGCAATATCACTCGCCCACCTCTGAAGATTGTTCTGATAACAATCAGTAACGGAATAAGAAAGGTGGATTTACCTCAGCTTTTGGTTTCATTCCTCCCAGCATACTGGGTGGAATCATGATGGGTAGATAACAAAGCCATGTGTACTTTTAAGACCCACGATATTAGTCTTGTACATTTTTATACCGTCGACCTCGGCTTTTGTTCAGTTAATGACCATTAAGTGGTGGAAGAAGTATAAGACGAATCAGCGAATAAAATTTCCTTGTCAATGGGCTCATTATCTGAAGCCATATAAATGTATTAACCATTATAAAAAGCAGTAATAGTCCACAATTATTCAGTAAGGTTACGTGATCGTCGAAGTGTTAAGAAGCAGAAGATGCTTCGAAAAATAAAAATAAATTCCGTAAAAAGACATCAATTATAAGACCATGAAAAAACAATATTCAACGTATATTTTCTGAACACACTCAACCCAAAAAACGGAATGGACAGTACCACGGCCCACAAAACATGTCAATTCGAGATCTTTTCAAACCACCTGCTTAGAGTTCTATGATAACCTCGAGAACAAACTGTTATAGACGTGCTCAATCGAAATTGACCAGGTGATGAATAATCAAAATGGTGATTGATTTGCATCCTTCTCCCCCAAAACACCAATACTCCGTAATGCTCCAACAAACATTTAGAAAGTTTCGCTTTGTACAGCTGATATAACAAGATCCATAGGAATAAGTGAACTTGAAACCATATTCACTGAGATATCTCATAGCAGTGCTGACAGAGTTGTGAGAGGGGTTGACACTTCCCGGCTGCCCATATCGTGGAAGGCTATTTCCTCTTAAGGTACCTGAAAGAGTAGCAGTAGCTTGTACTTACCACACTCAAGAGTTACTTGCCAATTAGAAGACGTGACCTATAGTTTGCTAGCAAAAAATATTCTACTCAGTGAATTTCAGCTTCAGTATCATCCCTGAAATCAAACATCATGGACATAATCGTCTTCAGAATTGTATTCACCTACTTCATATGTGTTGCTTGGCTGGTTGCTAGGAGTGGATTAACAGTCAGTCATATTAGTAATTGCACTCGTAATATATGATTAACGCCAAGTTGCGAAATCGTTGATTAGTTTGTTGTCAAGATCAAAAGTTGGTTGGTTAGTTGATTTCCAACTCTTTCTTCATCACACGGAATTTTTATATTCCATTGTACTCTCATTATGTCTTATATACTTGCTCCTGATCTTGCTTGACAACTGACACGTGGACAGCTTTGAGTGAAGAGAATTCCGGTCACCAGATAAAATAACTCCTACCAGATGTTTACATGAGTCAAGATGTTTGTCCATAACAGTTTCAAATACAAGCAGGTTTTCAGGTACATGACTAGGTTCTGCTGACACGTTAGTGAAATATCCAACTTTTTCACATATACACTTCACACATAATCAGTTCATCAACCACGAAAACGAAAGCTTTTATGAAAGGGCTTGGATATTACTTATAGGACAGGTGTTTTCGTTTTATTTGCGGTTTCTAAAGAAAAGATTCAAGTTTTTAAATATTCTCATTATTTAGAAAGCTTCTGAAAGTGATTCCTTAGATCAACTACTAAAATTTGCTCAATAATTGAATATTTCACAAGTTCATGATATTTTTGTGTCAGAGTTCACACCTTCTGATCTTAACTGGTGTAGATGTTTGCCAACGGAAACCCTGTTCACACCATAGTTGGGTGACAGCTGAACAATTTGTCAGCTCTGTGAAAAAAGTGCCAATGTGGACTGTGCAATTTGGAAATCATTCGCAAATTGTCCATTCATTTTAAAGGATACTTTGTTTGATGTTAAAAGTGATCCATGTGGAGCGAATGCTCAGTATGATTACCATTTCATTCATTTGACTGCAAAGTAGTCCTATCTGCCAATATGATCTTATCTGAAAGTCTGCTGTCGATTTTATCTGAAATATGTGTGAGAACATTCAGCTACTTATTTCTTTAATAGTAGTATACTGAACTGAGAAGTTATTTCGAAAACATTTGGGTTGAGATAAATTATATTCAGTTTTTTCAAAAAATTCGCATTTATGATAGTTCTTTTAGGAATTCGCATCCTTCAGAAAGACGTATCCATATAATTGTGAAGGCAGCCTTGCGTTTCAACTTTGAAAATACCGGCTGGTGCTCGTCGATTGAACATTTTAATTAGGTTGGAAGTAAAACTATATAGTCAGAAACTGTTATCATCTAAAGTTTCTTCCAGCCTCACTGATAGTGAAAACCATAGTAACGAAGCACATCTTGACGTCTGTGCTTTTAAAAATTCGTTTATATGCCAATCTACCTATTCGATATACTTTTTCCACACATTTCAAATGAAGAATACTGTCCAAAATTCACTGAGAAAGATGTTTACAAATGTCTCATGTCCCTGAACCTTTTTCATAGTTTAGATCCCTATGGTATGCCAAGCTTCGTATTCATGAAGTGTTGTGATATTTCATGCTATCCATAGGTTAACATGTTTAATAGATCGTTTTTAAAAAAACACCGTACTAGCTGTCTAGAAAGGCATTAAGATAGTCTGCGTACCTATGTCGGGGACTCCAAGTGCATGTCAAAAATTCCATTCTGTTCCAGTTACTTCTCCGTTCTTGAGATTAACGAAGAAGCTAATAATACATGTGCTCGAGCCCTCATTGAAGGCTTTCAGAAACCCTAATCAATTTACAAATGAGAGCAGAAAAAGCACTCTAGATGCCACCGCAGTCATATCAAAATATTGTTTGTAATCTTGATAGAAATACCAAGTATGGAAGGTGTACCTTTTTAGACTATACTTCAACATTTGATTCTATCCCAAGACCTCTTTTCCTGAACAAGCTACACCCAACTAATACTGAGTCCTGGATGACCAGCTGGCTATATTCCTATCTCTGTGAAAGGAAACTTTTATTGTTTACTGCGACTGGTGTTCCCCAAAGCGCCATCTTTTCGTCCAGTCTTTTTTCTTTCGCTCTGTACGACTTACCATCTTCAGCTAGTATCAGTTCTATCAGACAGACTGATGAGCTGACAGTTTTCGAACCTGTCTCCTCTCCAACAGATTGTTCTCAAACAAATGATTACCGATCTACTGTTAGACGATGATTCTCCGTGAATGGTCTTATGCATAATTCTTCGAAATTTCAGACTGTAAATTTTAGTTTCAGATGTAAATATAATCTCTGTAAACTGTTTAGTTCTCATGATTCCTGTTCCACTGATGGTTAGGCATTAGAGAATGCTGCAAGTGTGATTTATCTCGGTGTGTATTTTTCTTCGAGCCTTTCCTAGTCCTTTCATTTCTTACTAATTTACACAAGAATTTTCCGCCTAATTTTGATATTGGGAAGCCAAGAGTATCTGATAGCATCCAGCCTCTTTAACTGTGTTTTATGAAACCCTGGTTCTTGTCTATCCTTCTCTACTGCTCTCCCTAATTTTTTCCTGGGTTACTAGAAAAAGAGCACTCTATATTGCGTAGAACTGTGAAGATTATCAGCAGAACCTAGTCATGTACCTGAAAACCTGCTTGTATTTGAAACTGTTATGGACAAACATCTTGACTCATGTAAACATCTGGTAGGAGTTATTTTATCTGGTGACCGGAATTCTCTTCACTCAAAGCTGTCCAGGTGTCAGTTGTCAAGCAAGATCAGGAGCAAGTATGTAGGACATAATGAGAGTACAATGAAATATAAAAATTCCGTGTGATGAAGAAAGAGTTGGAAATTAACTAACCAACCAACTTTTGATCTTGACAACAAACTAATCAACGATTTCGCAACTTGGCGTTAATCATATATTACGAGTGCAATTACTAATATGACTGACTGTTAATCCACTCCTAGCAACCAGCCAAGCAACACATATGAAGTAGGTGAATACAATTCTGAAGACGATTATGTCCATGATGTTTGATTTCAGGGATGATACTGAAGCTGAAATTCACTGA